GAACCAAACATTTCTGTTGCTATTACAGTGTGCTGCATTTTATCTGGTACTTGCAACAGCATTAAATAAAAAAGTGCAAGTATTACTGGCAGGTCAGAGAGTAAGAAGTATAGAGATACTATTTGCTGATTTAGGAAAGACCTGTTACAAGAGCAAGTTCCAGAGCACAATCAAATGCCATACGACTGAAAGAAGTTTTAAAAAAGGTGCACTTGCATATTACGCCGTAATCATACTAGTGCTTTGTGCTCTTGTGAACTAACAGGACTTGCCTTGTAAATTCATTTTAGTTACTTTTTAATTAGAAGACAGAGAGCTGCGAAGTAATACGGGGAAAAGGATGGATGGTCCTTATTTGTTTCGGAAGTTTAAATACATAGTGATTTTCACCAAGAAATATTAATATATGTGTCAATAAAGAGAAAAGAGACTATCTGGTTTTAGTAGGTAAAGGCAAGATACAGTTGTTAAGACAAGCTACACATCAATGTAGAATACTTCCTATTTCCATAGTGACAGAGTATACACTATGTACTCTGGTAATCAGAGTAAGAGGCTGTAGTTCCAGCCTGGGATGAAGTATTTACGAAGAAGAAATCAGTGACTGATAAAATTTAAGTCAGAAAGTTTTATTTCATATTGCTTTATAGTCTGAATTTGTTGCCTGAGAACTGTAACGCTGATTTGATATGGATGTGTTTTAGTCTATCCTCGCTTTGATACTGAAGTGCTTTAGTCTATCCTCACATGTACCGCTAGTGAACACCACAGTAAAAGTTTCTGCTTTTCCTCACTTCTTTTTCCTGAAGATCAAGGCTGGCCTTTCCACGGGTATGTGGATGTGTTGCTCAAAGTGCAAAGCATCATATAAATAGCCATTCCCACCTAGAGATACAAACTTAGCACATAGGAAAAGATAAGAAGAAAAGTTTAAAGTCTTCCTATGAAGATCACCAGAATGAAGTAGAGACCTTCTTTGTTTCACTGGTGTCAACAGCCTCACATTTCACAAGCACTTTAGGGAGAATCTCCAAGAACAGCATTCCATAGTTGGACCAGTGGGATGGGATTTGTCTGGGTCCTCAGCAGATGCCGTGCCAATTTAAACATTGTTAATTTATTATGAGCACCAGTGATCCAAACAGATCTATTATTCATAAGAAAATCAAAGGCCCAAGGAAGAGGACAACATACAATTACTTCTTTCGGGTCTCTTTGCAGAGATGATTGCACCATGAGAGATCTGTGCCAGCCAAGACGCTCTACAAACAGGCTAAAAAGCAATCAGATTTATGCTTGAAGACAGATGCTGCAAGTTCAAGTAATTATTTTATATATATAGCATGAGATGGAATTACCAGAAGACCATTTTATAATGTCACATTTATCCTCAGTTGGCGGATTATTTGCATAATGTCAGATAAGCTGAATGCAAGTTACTGGGTTTTATGAAAGGATCCTTTGCCATCTTTGTACATGCTCAGGTGCTACTCAAAATACAACATACACAAAATCTTCTTGAACTTGGCCACTGCACTAACATTACAAAACTACAACCATCATAACAGCCATCTAGCCTCAGACCCTGGGCTTACAGTCAGTGCTCACTAACCTACACTGAATTTACAATGCGTAACTCTAATATTACCTCCTAAATCTAGGTCATTACAAAGAATGAATTGAAGGCCAGTCAGACGATCACTGAAACCAACAGCAATGGAAAGGAAAAAAGAGAGGGAAGGAGGAAGAAGGGGAAGAGATGGAAAGGGAAGTTAAGCTCTTACAGGTGGAATGAATGAAAAAAGAGAAGGGGTGTACATGCAAGTAATTGCAGTATAGCCTCTAACCACACAACTTCTATTGACAGAACAGTTCAGACCTTGCTTTAAGCCTGACTGTGTTGGTTCAAGATCATCTATAAATTGACACAAGCAAGTTAAGCAGCTCTAGGTCCACATAATTTAGTTCAACTTGATACCACCACATCAATTTAACTAAAACAATACAAACAGCAGGTTTAGAATCTTTGGCCAAGAAGCAATTACTACCTGGGACCATGTTCCATCATCAGCATTTAAAAAAAAAAAAAGGGTCACTTACTGACACTCTGACGCTCTCTGGAGCGAAGACCAAAGCTCAGATCCTTTTCCTCCAGACAGACACTCTGTTTGAGAGTCATCCTTATATGATGGAATGCTACATGTGAAATTAAGCAGGAAGGTAGATGAAGTCCTACAACCAGCCTCACACAGCCTAGGCAGTGTTACACATAGGTGGATGCTCTCATTGTCAGATTATCTGTATTAAAGGAGCAGAAGCTGCTTCCTGTAATGGAGAAATCCCTCCTTTGGGTCTGACAAGACCCAGTTTCTAAAGAGCTTCCAAGGGTGTGAACGCCAAGCAGAACCAGGTATTTATATGCTGATCCTCTCAACTGGAGGACAAATGTTTATGTCCTCACCTTTCACATGTGCCAACTTAGGCAGCTCTCTAGCTCACACTGATTACCATTCTAAGACACTGGCTGCTTCTTTTAAACAAGTAGCAAGTGTAGCTACTTAATTCAGGGGTGACAATCTTGCTACCAGGAATAAGTGTTGTAATGCTGAATATCTTATCTTTGTGCATCCATTTGTGAATCTAGCTGTGGATACTAGGCCATGAACAAATAAAGAGTGTCAAACAATGCCAAAAGACAAACACCTAGGATAATTAATCCCCCAGTAAACATTTACATCGAATTCAGCGTTGAAAAGAATACAAATCTACCTGATGCTGTTCAACATCTTTGTTGCAGACATGGACAGTGGGGTCGAGTGCACCCTCAGCAAGTTTGCCGATGATACCAAGCTGTGTGGTGCGGTAGATGTGCTGAAGGGAAGGGATACCATCCAGAGGGACCTGGACAGGCTGGAGAGGTGGGCCCATGCCAACCTCATGAAGTTCAACAAGGCCAAGTGCAAGGTGCTATACCTGGGTGGGGGCAATCCCAAGCACAAATACAGGCTAGGCAGTGAATGGATCGAGAGCAGCCCTGAGGAAAAGGACCTGGGTGTGCCGATTGACCAGAAGCTCAACATGAGCCAGCAATGTGCAATTGCAGCCCAGAAAGCAAACTGTATCCTGGGCTGCATCAGAAGTGTGGCCAGCAAGCCAAGGAAGGTGATTCTGCCCCTCTACCTTGCTCTGGTGAGATCCCACGTGGAGTACTGCATCCAGCTCTGGAGTCCTCAGCACAAGAAGGAAATGGGCCTGTTGGAGTGGGTCCAGAGGAGAGCCACAAAAATGATCTGAGGGCTGGAGCACTCCTCCTGCGAGGACAGGCTGAGAGAGTTGGGGCTGTTCAGCCTGGAGAAGAGAAGGCCCCAGGGAGACCTTGTTGTGGCCTTCCAGTACCTAAAGGGGGCCTACAGGAAAGCTGGGGAGGGACTTTTTACAAGGGCATGTAGTGATAGGACAACGGGGAATGGCTTCAAACTGGAAGAGGGGAGATTTAGATTAGATATTAGGAAGAAATTTTTCACTTTGAGGGTGGTGAGGCACTGGAACAGGTTGCCCAGAGAAGCTGTGGAAGCTCCATCCCCGGAGGTGCTTAAGGCCAGGCTGGATGGGGCTTTGAGCAACCTGGTCTAGTGGGAGGTGTCCCTGCCCATGGCAGGGGGGTTGGAACTCGATGATCTTCAAGGTCGCTTCCAACCT